CCGTCCTCGGAGAGAGTTGCCACCTGCTCTTGCGCTGAGCACAACGAACCCAAGTCTGATGTCCATTGCCGCCACCCTTGAGAAAGCGTGCCTGGTGCTGACACTGACTCGGGTCCTCCTCGGGAATGCCCTTCACGGCGGCCATCGCCTTTGGCTTCTTCGTGTCGAGGTAGTTGCGGTACGCCTGGCCTTTCTCCGTGACCCAGCTTGGCCTTCGTCGTCGAAGAGCTTGCCGTCATCGAAGCTGCCGAGCTGGAAGGTGACGGCGCGGGGAGCTGAAGCCACTGGCTGGTGGCGGACTGGAAGTGAGCCCACTCAAACCCAAAACAGCTTGTCCAACAAGACGCGCGTGGGTTTTGGCCGGGACGGACCACAACCCATGGCCGGTCCTGCTGCGCTTTCAGCGCCTGAGCTCCTAACATCGGGGCCACGTACAAAAGTGGCCACTGGAGAGCTCTGGCTGCAATCATTCGAAGAAGTCCTCATACTGAAGCTTGCTGGCTTGAGGCTTGATCTGAACGCACTCTCTGAGACATGCCCTCTGCAGATTTCAGGGAGAAACCATCCGGGACCGAAGTCAAGAACATTGATGGTGGGATGACCAGACGGAAGAACATTCATGACGCAGTCTGTGTTAGTTGCCCGAAGATGTAGACGATTTTCTCCAAGATCAACACTTGCCTTGAGAGCACGCAAGAGATTTATAGGAAGGAGAAAAGGAACATCCTCGGCCACCACCGTTAAAGCCACGACACCCGGAACCTGTCCAATGCCAACGGGAACCTCCACGACTCCAACCGTCTTCGCTAGACCACCGATGCCTCTAGCCTCTGTGAAGCTTCACCTGTCCACCGCCCTTTCAGCCCAAAACTTCCGAAAAGACGCAGAAGAGCAGGACGACCAATGAGACCATCTTGCGCTGCAGTGTCTACTATGGCTTCTGCGCTAGACGTTATCATGCCGACGAATGGTGCTTCAGAGCTGCTGTGGTCTGAGGCCAGAAAGGACACTTTTGCCTCGCTTGCTTCAATGCCGCCTTCGTCAAGAACTGAGTGACAGGACCTGCGTTCGCGCCAGCCCAACAGAAAGATGTGCCAGAAGCCGCGGAATAAGCTATTCTTTATACTCCAATGCCGCCCTTGCCTTGGCCCTTCTTGCCCTTAGCGCCAGGGCTCGCCGGAGGATAGAATCCACGAGCGTTCCTGGTCTGCCGAAGCGCATTGCGGACATCCTGGTAGCTGGCCAGGATCTCGATGAGGTCGTCCTCTTCGATCGGCTCGTCCTCGTCCTGCGGCTGGTCGTGCTCCTCGAAGAAGGCGCCGCGTTTGCTTTCCGCAGTGACCCGGTTCAGCGGGCGAAGGTTCAGCAGAACGGCGTCGAGGGAAAAGTCGCCCTGGAGCCACATGGTCAACTTTGATTCCAGTTCCTTGTCCAAGTTGGCCTGGCGACACAACAAGTAACCCAAAGCCTTGTTCGGCAAGTCGACGTTTTCGGACTTGAGAATCCACTGCGCCTGCTGGAATCTCACAGAGTACTCGGGAAGGCTTGACTACCTTCTTGAGGCCGTCGTCCGCCGCGAGGTCGCTCACCGTCAGGGATTGGACTGCCTCCTTGGCCGGGCCAGTCAGCGCCTGAACCACCTTGATTCCTCTCTTGGCCTGGAAAAGGTTTGTCACTGCCTCCCATAGCTCCAAGTCACTCAAGTGACTTCGGGCCTCTCGCCGCTCCAGCCTGGTGGCGGATCTCTGTCCTGCAACGGCTGCTGAGATGCACCATGACGCCACACGAACAAGTAGAGCTCTTTCACCTCTGCCTCGCCCCGGAGAATCGGGTAGAAGGTCCGGCAGAACTGCTTGAAGAGCTCGAGTCGCCTGGCCGAACAGCAGCGGTCGCCCTCGAAGAGGAAGATGAAGTGGTGGTGACCTGGATCGCAGCACAGCCCTTTCGTCGCCTGATTCGCCGTCGTTGTTGCCAAGGAAGTGCTTTCGGATGAAGTCTTCCTTGTAGACGCCCTGCAAGTTGCCAAGGATGGAGGCCGTGATCTCGTTGTAGGTACCCTGGGCCTCCCACTCACGCTTGACAGCGTGCACCCGCCGAGTCACTGACGACTGAGAACGGCGGCTTTCAGGATCCTCCTGGTCTGCCCTGAACTGGCTCCTCAAAGCCTGCTCTCCGTCCCTGAAGGCGCTCAAGCAGAGCAGCTTGTAGGAGACGTCCCGGCAAAGGCCGTGCTGAGAAGAAACCTGGCTCCGGTGCCAACTGACAACACCGTTCACCAGCAAAGCGGAGATGGATGCACACTTTCACTCGCCTATCAAAAGCTCACGGTAGGAAAATGGCTACAAGGGGCCCCTGGAGCAAACACAGCCGCGTACACCTCATGAGGCCAAGCACTGTACTGGCAGCTGCTCTTTCACACAGTCCATTTCACAAGCATTGTTCTCACCCTGCATCAACAAATCCTCAAGTAGACCTAAGTAGCGGCCGTGTTTGGAAGAGCCGGAAAGAGTGCAGAAATGTCGCTTATGCGGCAGACGCCAACGCTTGCTGCATACTTCACACGCATTGTGGCCACCCTGCACCAGAAAGGTCCCAAGCAAACACTGTGTCTCAAAGACTCACAAAGACTGTGAAACCCCTCGACAGCCTGCAGAAGCCAGTTCAATTCTGCTGAAGGCATTTGTGCGCAACTGCAGAGCTGAAGGTGTGTCGGAAACAGGCAACAACTATGCCCGCACAATACCAAGAACGATCCCTGCGACCCCTTGAGCCCAACAGATCCCAATCCCAACTCCATCAGGCGCTCCTATCCTCAACGTGGACGCAGTAAGGCACATTGCGCCTCCGAAAAGCCCATCTCTCCATGTACACGCATGGATCAGCGAAAGCTACAGCATAAGGCGCATCAAAATGAGGTTTTCTTCAAGTAGACGCCCCATTTGGAAACATCAGGAACATCTTGCCGAGACGCTTTGTGGACGTCTCTCCAGGCTCCAGCGGCTCATGGTTTACGAAGTATGCCGGCGAGAAAAAAAACGTCTTTATGAGCAGCGGATAAAACTTCTTGTCTGGCCAATGGTCAAAAGTCCCTTCGAGTCGGGCCTCGAATCTCGTTTCTCTATTAAGTTGCGTTCAAACACAAAAATGCTGATCTTGCAGTTTTGAGGGAGATCATCTAGTGTTACAGGCTAAACGTATTATTTCCAGCACTTCTGACCGACGTTAGACATGCTTAAAGAGACGAAACTTTCGTCCGTCGCTCATATAGACCTATCAGGATCCAGCTGCTTATGGATTAGGTAACACCTTGTAATACTCGCCATGTAGACACCTGTCAAGGATCCAATAGCTCATTGTTAGGAAGCAGTCGGCAACTCCAAATTGCATTTAGAAGCCCTGCACACACCTGCTCAAGAATCGTGATGTAGGACGAAATCTCGCCGCTTTCAACGCCACGTAAACGGATCGTAGGCGCCTGTCACAAGCCCGCTCGTCAAAGTTTTGAAGCACTCTGGCAACTCCGAATGCCATGTCAATGCCCTGTAGAGGCATGTCACGGAGCGCGTTGACGCTGCAACGATTTGTTCGCAGCAAAGGTTGCTGGGACGGCGATGGTATCCGTATGGTTTCGAGGTCAACTTCTTTGTGGCCAAGTTTACTGATGCCGTGGTGGTATCACCACGGTTTCGTGGTCAACTTGTGCCCTCATTTGCTGATAATTCGGCGGTATCCCACCCTTTCGTGGTCAACTTCTTTGTCGCCGAGTGCAGTGACACCGCAGTGGCATCGGTGGTCATATTCTTTGCGGCCGAGTGCGCTGACGCGGTGCGGGTTGTCCGCACGATTTCGTGGTCAACGTTTTCATGATTCTGACACTGCAGTGGTATCTTCATGGTTTCGTGGCGAAGATTTGGCGGCAAACTTCGACCTTGATGGTATTCCCCAAAATTGCGCGGTCAATTTCTTCGTGGCCTAATGTGCTGACACAGCGCTGGTATCCCCATGGATCGGTGAATAATTTCTCCGTGGCTGAGTGTGCTGACATTGCGGGTTATCCCGCGGTCTTGCGGTCAACTTGTTCGCCGCTGAGTGTTCTGACACCACGATGATACCCCCGCGGCTTTCGAGTTCAACTTTTTCGTTGCCGAGCGTGCTGACACCGCATGACACCGCCATGTGGTATTATACTCATTATGGGGTTCCCCAAAATTGGGGGCACCTTTTTGCGGATCCCTAAGTAAAGACTGTAGAAAATTTCGGGTCTATATTGGGGTCCCCTATTTAGGGAAGCTACCATATTGCATTCATGCACGATTTTACCATCCACCGCTTCGCGGCTGCCCGTTTGTCTGTCCAGCCCTTTGTTGCTAGCTGTTGCTGTTGTCTGTGTTGCTGTTTGGGCTAGCACCCTAATCGGGCCGGAAGTGACCTCTGTTGTTAGGCAAGGCTATTGCCTTTGTCAATCTTTCACTCCACGCGTACTTCGGCAACTCTCCAAGCACCATTTCATGCAGACAGACGCATGCCACAGATCGAGCTTTCGTGCTTTGAGATCAGTTTAGGAAGTATACCCAAACACTATGTAGAAGCAACTTTGATGCACATTGTGGCTACCAAAGACAGCTGAAATCCATAGACTGACGCAGTTGCCAAACTGCGTGTATACGATGTCGCAATCAACAGTTTATAAGTGACGTTAGATCACAGGTGGCTTCCCCAAGTAGACCTCAGGCTGCGGAAAGGGCAAGAGTTTGGCAGGAAGGAGCCTCTGCAGTTTGTTCAATGACTTAAAAGCTGCTCGAAAACAAATGCTGCCTGAGATTGCAAACGTTGCGGATTCACAGTGACACGTTTTCAAGCTTGGGCAAATCCACGTTGTTCTCGCAGCTTGTGCTTCAACGAGGAAGCCTTTTTAAGGCCCAGGGGCAATAAAACATGGTCCCGGTTTTTGCAGTGGGCACTCACTCTAAATGCTGTTCTACTATCTGTTCTTGTGAGGCCTCCGCTCCCATAGCATTCTCGATTCCCTGAATCCACTCCTTGGCAGCATAAGACAACTCTGCTGCGAATTGACATTACCAGGGAAGGCTCTGCCAAGATTGCAAGGCGAGCTCCTGGCTCTCAGTTGAAAAGAGTTGATACTCAAGCGAAGTCCAAGGTTTGAATTTATCAGCGGTAAGGGCCGCGCAAGCTCCGAGCTGAATCGCCGAAAGTCATCCAGCTGCAGCTCCAGCACTTTGTAGCAATCTCCAACCACCAGCAAAACCTGCACTTGCTTCTCAAGGTCTCAAACACTCTGACAGTCCCACCAACAACCACGTGCTGAACTAAATTTGAGAAGGTCCACATGGCAGGCTGCTTGCAAGGAAAAGGCCGCCCTGACTGAGCGGGCTAACTCGTCAACCCGATGGCCCCAGCGCGCAATGAGCCAGACTCGACACGGATGCATGGCGCGCAGAGGTCGCTGCGGCTCATGTTGAATGAGCTCCTTGCTCGCCCATTGGCTTCTGACTCTGTCTGGCTTTGCTGTGCTTCGCCTGTTGTGAATGATTATCTGAACATTACGTGCGGCACAGTGCGGCTTTGCAAACCCGATGGACAATGAACTAAAGCGGGAGCTAGCTTGGTGAGGCCTCTTCCAGGTTGTCTGCGCTGGAAACATGCTGGTTCGAGCTGTGGAGAGCTGTAAACAGCTGTAAGCAGCTGTGACATGCCATGACAGACGACATTCAAGCAATGAAGGCCTGGACCGCGCTGAAGCTGAACTGCTGGCCTCCTTTTCAGGTCAAAGTGACAAGTGGTCCCGGACCATGCTGGGCCCTCAGTAGTTTTGTCATTGCAAAGGTCAAGATCAGAAGCCTCCTTCTCGCTTTCACTCTCAGAACTCTCAGAACTCTGGCTCTGCTTCTGGGCCATCTGTACCTGCCAAAATCGTGTGTGGGTAATGTTGCTGTTTCTTGATGTTGTGCGCCTCCCGGTCTTGGCATGCTGTCTGAAGTCCTGCACTCTGCACCATTTGTGTGGAAGTTCTTTGCACGATGACGTTGTTTTCTCCTTCAGCAAGTTCTGGATCAGCCGGACAAAACAACAACCAGAGACCACCTGCGATGCTGAGTATGCAGCAAAAGGGATGCATTGGCACAATGAACAAACACGACGTTGACCAACATGTGTTCAAACGGCGGCAGTCACCAAAGCAGGCTTGAGACCCTCCGCCAATGCACAACTTCGGAACGCGGACCTTCTTCTGCAAAGCTCCTTCGAAAAAGACTGAACTCACGTCCGCTCAGTTGGGACAAGACTTTATGTGCAATCTGTGAACCTGCCATGGGATGGCCCACTGACCCAATGCAGCTCAAAGATGCCCGGCGCATCCAACCTTAGGATCTCAAGCTTTGCTGGCGCGCTGCCCCTTGCTGGCCAGCCAGCACAACTTTTTCTCACGCTCGCAGCCCTGAGCATGAACACTTTCAACTGGTGGACGGCAAAGAGTCTGGCTGCGTGCTTCGCATAGAGGCGGTCGCGGCCTGAGAGCAACAATTGCTCAAGACAGCATGATTCTAGAAGAGGCCAGGATGAATGGGGGAAGTCGGTCCTGGGGATGAACAGCTGGTCACATGTTCTGTATCCTTCCCTCCTTCCTTCGTGCCGCGTCGATTAAAAGGCAGGGTCGGCAAAGCTAATTGATTGATTAGCCTCTCGCTTTCAAGCTCCCAGGATCTCGCCAAGCTTGTGTCGTAATCAGAAACTAGAAATGGGTCATATGAAAGTGGGCCATTTTGATTTTAGTGTTGCTGATGCAGTTGGTGGTGTGGAAAGGCTGCAGGTACTGTAAAAAAGCGGCTTGAGCTCTTCTGGGGTTGCATTTAGAGCGCCGTGAAGTCCTTCAAGCCTGCAGGTGCTGACAGCATTCAGATTACTTCAGCCCCTGTCGCAGACACTGTAACCATTGTTGTTTCCTATGGCTGATCCTGCAAACTGGCAGGTTTCCAGCCCTTCAAGTCAGAGGTTAAGAAGCTTAACCTTTGCAGATCTTTGCAGCTTCGCGAAGCTACGCTTGCTTTCTTCCTTCCTTTCCTTCCCGTCTCCACTAACCACCCATTCCTGGATGTTTGATGATTTACGCAGACTTGATGTTTTGTGTACGTGTTGGATTTCCATTCCTGCAGTCAGACACCAGTACCCGAGGCCGGGGCCACTTGCTTCGCAGACACTGGCCGGATTTGAATGTCCTGGGTGTGCGCCAACTGCTGGCGTGAAGCGGGATGCAGGTTCGAAGGCAAGCTCATATTGGACAGTTCGGCATATTCTTCAGTTCACTACTACTGATGAAACAACGCTCCTGCATGTCAAGCACGGTTGGACCGGCATCCACGCTCACAGTTGCCGTAGCTGCCAAACTGACATGACTGGGATCAGCTTTGTTAAGTCAAAAATGCAAATGAAGCTCTGCAGGCGCCTGTGGCTGGAAGTGCTTCCCTTGCAGCGAACATGGAGCACCAGGTGTTGCGTACCCGGAGGGAAGTCCTCACTAGCTAAGGTGCAGGTGTTCTCAAAAGTAGACTCAAACCTGCACACGCTGGCTGAGTGCCAAGGGTTGCGTCTGAGCATTTCATGGCATACGAACGCCTATGCAAGTTGACAGCTGCCGCGAGCAAACCAAGCACTTCCTACAATGCTCAAACCTCCGGCTAGCAGCTGTAAGAAATCCCAGCTGCCAAGTCTGCTGGTGTTCCTGATTTGGCATTCTGTCTGTGTCCAATTCTTCTTCGTCTGTCCTTATGCAGCCTTGGGCAAGGGACATGCAAGTCACACATCCCGGTCCAGGCTCGGGACAGAACAAGAGGCAATGGATGCGAGGTCCTGTTCATGAGACAACACTTCTAAAGCATCATCAGCAACTATGTACTACAGAACAATACCCTCGCAGGGCTTGAATGTAAGGCGGTCTTGATCCAACATTCTGTTGACTGTACTTGGGTCGGGGATGGTTAATTCTTTCATTAAGGGGATGAAATAAAATCTTCATGATGCAAAACTAGCTCCATAGAAGCCTTGGAACCGAACCAGCGTATCTTTCACTTGAGGAGGGAAGGGGAATGGGAGCAAGATCCATTCCTTTCTGCATAGTCCACACTCCATGCCACTGTCCAACCTGCTTTTCACTGCTGTTCTCTCCACGTCGCAATGAGTCCACTTTGCACTGCACTACGCACTTCACCTTGTTCTCACTCCACTTGCCACAGCCACTCCCCCAGTCTCCACTTCCTTCACGCCCGCTCTCCCCTCGACTCTCATTCCACTTTGAACCTCTTTACACTCTCCACTCTCCACTCCACTCCGCTCCGCTCTACACTCCAGGCGCGACGCTCCAGTCTCCACTTTTTTCCGTTCTTTTCAGTCCACGTTCCACTCCACTCATCAATCCACCCAAAAACCACTTTCCATGCCACTTTCCACTTCACTCTGGATTTCCAATTCCACTCCACTTTCCATCCCAATTTCCCTTCCACCTTCCACGCCACTCTCCACTGCACACTTTCCGTTCTCCACACCACTCTCCACACTCCGTTTTCCACTCTCATTTCCACGCCACCACTTTTCATTTCGGTTTCCACTCTACTCTCCACTCCACTTTCCACCTCAATTTCTATTCCACTCTCCACTCCACTCTCCACTCCACTCTCCACGGCATTCTTCACTTCCCTCTCCATCCCATGCCCCACTGTCCAATCCATTCTCTACTACCCTGTCCACTTCACGTTCCACCCCACGCTGCTCCGTTCCACTCCACTGCATTCCGCTTTAAAATGGCGACCCCGAACCGTGCAAAGGTCCAAAAGCAAAGGCAGTTATGACGCTGGCTATCCCAACGGTCCCCATCCCGACTGTTGGCACTTGTGGCACGCTACGCGGCAACGATGATGGTCCAAAAGCGGTGGCCTTGAATGGTCCCGTGCTTGTGACTGTTGGCAATTTCGGCACACCACGAAGACATGACCATCCGAAAGTGACGGCACTGACGAGAATTGTGAACTCGAGTGGCCACATCCCTGTGACTGTTGACACTTTCAACACGCTACGAAGGCAGGACCATCCGCCAGCGACCTTGAGCGCTATCCTTGTGACAGTTGGCACTCTTTTTTCACAAGCAACAAAGACGCCTCCTTTGAAAAGCGACGACAGTTGCAAAGAAGGGTACACCCTGAACCAGGCGTGATGTGTTTGGTACGATGACCACGCAAGGGTACGCGCCAATAAACCAAGAGTAGGGAGGTTCAGTCCAACCACCGAGCCTAATGTCACTCGTAGCATGACCATGCCTGGGTAGGGTAGTGAACACTACAGGAGTAACGAGGTGTCAAATGAAACACGAAGTGATTTTGCAAACCTGTGGCACACAATGGAATAAGAAGGAAGGCTTCATGGCAGTGCGTCACGACATTCACGACCTTGCCATTGCCGGGGCATGGCACAATACAGAGCGAGTAGGGAGATCTGACGCATCCTAGTGCGACTTGTACCACGACAACGCAAGGGCAGTGACTGGTACAGGGAGGTGTGACCACGAGAAAACGGCGTTATAGTACCATGAGCATGCACTCACAGAAAGGGTATTTTCACTGCGCCAGTGACGTCTGAGTGAATCTGAAGAAGTTTCAAGGTCATACTTTCACATGCTCCAGCAATCAGCTTGTGAGAGCTGGGCTAGCAAATGGTCACACCAGAAGCCTGAATAGGCGTCAGTGGATGGTCATGAAATGCTGATGCCCGTGTCCTCACAACGTGCCTCTACCAGAGCTTTCGGCTTGAGCAAGGTTTGCAGCAAGCCCCAATCCAAGTTGCCGGGGCCCAAATTTGGGAGACCTGCTGCTTGAGTGACCAGCCCCACGTGCGGTGGCTCTGAAAGAAGGTGAATTTGCTTTTCTTGGACCTGCGTGATGTCCGACCATAATACATCGATGCCCCAGCACTTGCGGTAGACGCCTGCGCGCATGTTGTTCGAGTCACA